GAGAGCTCTTCCGACTCTCGAAGTTTGACTGGCTTCAGCCAGCACTTTTAAGCACTCACACATATTCAGCACCAACTAAATGCCAGGTATTATGCAACATTCCCTCAGGATATGTGTGGCCACCAAGCTGACTCTCAAGATGCCTCGGTGCAGTCTCGCCTGCCCGTCTCTCCGTCTCTCCTCTCTTCCTTGCCACCTGCAGTGGCCACCCCCTCTCTCTCCAGGCGGGCTGAAAGCTTGGTTCATCCGGATATTGAAAAAGGAGGCCCTTTGTGCACACACCCAGCTCTACTGTTTGCATTCGCATGGGGTAGGGTGGCTGCTTCATCCGGGTGCAGTCCTCGGCACCAAGCTGTCTGCCACCTGCCCCGTGCCAACCTTAGAGCGAGCATGCCAATCCACTCTCCACACCCTGGGCAGCAAGGCAGTGACGTGGGGGCTGAGAAGACCAAAATCTGGAGGTGGAGGAGGGGTGGCCTCGTGCCCCAGAATGGCCAGGGGAACGGCAGAATGTGCTTGGTGACCTTGAACTAGAGACTTCACTCTACTGCGCCTGCCTGGCCTCCTGAGGGTCTGGCAAGCAGCGCCTCGAGGGTCCTGGGGACCGAGGGCGGGCCCCTGGTCACTTAGAGGAGCCCACGAGGCTGCGATAACCAGACCTTTTCTCTCTGTACTTTCTTTTTTATATTGAAGGTGTTCAATTCTAACAGCAACAGTGAGAGGATAAAATGCACATGAGGGGTTTGCCCACGAAGGAATTTGGGCAGCTGTGTTGCATGTAAAAGGATCGTGTGAGGGTATCTGGCTCTTATTTCGCTCTGTCTTATATTATCTTGTTTGCTTTCTCCTTGAGTATTTCCAGGATGTAGATCACCTGTCAGTGGCCCAAGAAGTGCCGCTGCTTTATTGCTAAGCAACTTCCAGGTGTAAGTGAAAGCACCTCTCTATAGTGTGAACACCTCTCCCCCAGGAGTCACCCCCTCTCCCCTCCCCCGCACCCAGTGAAAAGCAAACCCCTGGCCCTGGAGGAGCAGCAGGACGCATCACTAGCAATGGCTCAGGCTGGCAGCCCCGAGGAGGGGCCTGGGAAGGTGGGAGAAAGCTTCCCAGAGGAGGTGACCTTTGAGGCAAAGGAACCGATTTCAGCTGGCAAGAGTTGAGAACCCGTCACTCCTACAGCTCCTTTCCGCCAACCCATTCAGTCTTTCCATATTTGGGGTCTCAAACTGCTTCCCAGAGCTTGAGGGGCAGGGATCATTCCCTTCCAATTTACAAGGAGGGAAATCAGAGTATGACGAAAGGACCAGGCAAGGTTGTGACTTTTAAAAAAATTTTTATCCTCACTTGAGGATATATTTTCCATTGATTTTTTAAAAATATATTTTATTGATTTTTTACAGACAGGAAGGGAGAGGGATAGAGAGTTAGAAACATCGATGAGAGAGAAACATCGATCAGCTGCCTCCTGCACACTCCCTACTGGGGATGTGCTTGCAACCAAGGTACATGCCCCTGACCGGAATCGAACCTGGGACCCTTGAGTCTGCAGGCCGACACTTTCTCCACTGAGCCAAACCGGTTAGGGCTCCATTGATTTTTTAGGGAGAGTAGAAGGGAGCGAACACCTCTAGTGTGTGGTGGGAGGGGGAAAGAAACACCCATCTGAGAGGGACACATCGATTGGTCGCCTCCTGTACGCACCCTGACCAAGGACGGGGATCAACCCTGCAACCAAGGTATGTGTGCCCTTGATCAGGAATGGAACCTACATCCCTTTGGTGTGCAGGCTGATGCTCTAACCACTGCGCAACGCGGGCCAGGGCCAAGGTTATGTCTTCCTAATTGAATGGTAACCACAGGGTGCCCAGCTAGGGCTAGAGATTTGAATACAAGGCACAAAGGAAATATAGGGCAGCCTCTGTCCTTGGAAACTTGTTTTCATTGGCAAATAAGATATGTCAATAAAGCACCAAGAACAATTGTAAAGTTGTTGTGCAAATAGTTCACTTCCCCAGCTGTTTATCCAGCACTCTATGTGCAGGTATTTTGTGAGACACCTGGGCAGGGGCGGGGAAGTGTTGGAAATACAGGTAAATACAGTCCCAGCTCTTCAAGACTCACAGTGTAACTGGCCTCAGGGGAGGCAGGGTGGCAGGCAGAGGCAGCTAACAGTTGGTGGAATACTGGGTGAGGCAAAGTAGGTTTACACTTGTGAGTACACAAAACACAGTTTATTCTTGTATTATTATTTATTAATCACTGGAGGCCCAGTGCTCGGATTCTCACACATTGAAAGCAAATTAATTAGAAGGTGGCCAGTGGGTGGGACTGGGCGAGATGGGCCAGACACACCCTGGAGTCAACTCCCACGGTCCCTCCCTGGCCAGCCACACCTGGGGCGGTGCCAGGGCTCGAAGGGCGTCTTCGTAGTGAGTGGGCTGAAACCCGCAGCCTGACATCCTCTGAGGGATCCCGGAGTGTGAGAGGGCACTCTGCAAAGTTGCTGTCGCTCGGCAGCTCCTGCGTTGAGCATCTGCCCCCTGGTGATCAGTGCACGTCATAACTACCGGCCGGTCGGCCATTGGCCGGTTGCTTAGCCTTTTATATAGAGAGATTGTATTATTTTCCATATGAACCACTGTAAGCCTACTTCTGCCCCACCCTGTATGATAGCTGACACTGTGAAGATAGTAGGAGGGCAAGAAGTAAGTCTGGAGCTCCTTGGAATTTGGGGTTTGGGTAGAATTTTTCTGGGAAAAGTTCCTGGAGGAGGTGGACAATGGGATGATGCTGGAAAATAGTGACACAGGGAAAGAGAAGGAAAGAGAAGAAGCAAGACTTTTTACGTACTTATCCTTCAGATCCAGTTCAGTAATCACCTCCTCCATGAAGCCTTCCCAGGCAAAATGGGACCCTTCTCCAGGAACTCAAAGCACCCCTAGTATAGAATGTATCTCATTGCTGTCCTTGCTTCCTTATGGCTTGTCTCAACTCAAGGGCCCCCCACAAAAGAAAAAAAAAGAAGAAAGGAAAGAAAAAAGGAAGGCCTTTGATTGCAGTGGGGCTGGGTATTGCGCCCACCATAGTCTGTTTACAATTTTATTGAAATATAATTCACCTACAGGAAAGGGCACCAATCATAAGCTTACAGCCCAGCGAGCAATGCAATACGCTTACCTGTGTGAAACCACCACCCAGATCAAGTCACAGGATGTTTTTAGTGGCCCAGACCCTGCAGGCTGCCCTTCCATTCACAGGTCGCTGCCGCTGTGGCCCGAGGAGCTGAGCCAGTAGACAGCCGTAGGAAATTAGGAAAGGATTTCAGGAGTTTGGGCTGCAGGAGCCAAGAGCTGGGGCGAGGTCATTATTTGTGAGAAGGACTAACAGGGCAAGAGCCACTAGACGTCCTGTAGGTGGCAGTGGGGAGCCACAGGGAGGCGCATTTCAGTTAAGCATGAAACCCTTCCTACCACAGTGCCGACCCCCAGGAAATGATAAGGTTCCCATTAATAAAAGGTACCCGTCTGGAATAGGGCTGACAAACCTTTATCAGTGATGATGGGGAGGGGCGGGGGGAGAAAGGGGGGTGGATGGGAGACTTCACTGGAGATGGCTCCCTCCAACTCTGAACTGCTGATTCCGGAATTCTGCGACAGTAGCTCAGAAGACTCAGTCAAACGCTGTGGTTATGAATTGTTCGTGTTTCTTTTCCAGAGGAGACGTTTTTAAGCACAAGTACTGCAAGGCCCACCATTATCAGGGCTGAATAAGTAACTATCATCACCTACAAGCCAGCTGAGCCAGAGACCTCAGGGCTCCCCTCCCTGGTGGGGCAGCACCTGCAAGAGAAGCAGGTTGTTCCTATTTCATTCCAAGTTGTCACGGGGGCACCACAACCTCCTCAGTCCATTTAGCCCTGGTCCCCCTTGGGGGGGGGCTGCGAGTGGGCATGAATAATGGCTCCCACACCACCAGAACTCCAGGGCAGGGGTGGCAGTGCAGGGCCTCACTGCTCTGCCTCCTGGGAACAATGCAGGGCCAGTGTCCGGGCTCCGGGGCAGGACCACACCAGCATCACCAGCCCTGTGACCACCTGCGGTGAGGGACGCCTGTGTCCCAGGACTCCCACCTGGAGGCTAACATCCTCCCACCCCGATTCCTTCCGGCTTTTCCCAGCAAAACAGGAATTTCCCCCAGAACCCTCTTCTCCCCTAGAGGGTTATTTCCAGATTTCTCCTGGGATTCCCCAGGTCCCCACCCTCCCCTTTCTGACCCCCTGCTCCCCCAAATAGGAAGGAGAAAGTCCAGACCAGCATCCACCTCTTCCCCTCCCGCACCTGTCCAAGGAGCAAGGGGCGCCTGCAGGTGTGGGTGGCTACAGGCCCTTCCGCTGAGCTCAGGGCGAGGATGGATACTTCTAGGGCTTTCTGTCTGAAGGGTTCCATTGAAAACCATGAATACCCTCCCAAGAAAAAAAACATATGTAGGAGCTTGTGCCTCCTGTTCAGAAGATGGGGGGCGCTGGCAGACTCTGAATTCCGTCTGTGAGGCCTCTAGTTTAGGAGGGAGGCTGGGGGCTGCTCCACCGCCGAAGCCCAGGCCCTGGTGAATGGGGGAGGCGCTCTCCCAGCTGCTCGGCACGCACAGGACCCCTCGGGCCTCGGTGTGCCCGGCTCTAAAATGGGCGCTCGGGCCCCTCCAGCCCTGGGGGCTGCGTAGGGAGGCTGGCGGGACCGGGAGCGGGTGGGAGGAGGGCGGGGTGG